ATTTCATTATGTATGTAATATTGCATCAGCTCCTGGACCAACTATATAAATGGACACTAAATGAAGTTTAATAAGGGTCTGTTTGGTACAGATTCTCATTTTCTACAGTAAATCAATTCTCATTTTTAACCACATATTTTTCAATAAAATAATATTTTCCATCACATCAATAATTTTTTCTTCTTTTTCAACCACACATTTCCCATCATATCACTATTCAAAAATGAATTCTTCCCCCAAAAATTCCTACCAAACAAGCACTCAATAAAACGAATCTGCTAGACACCAAGTGATGAACCAAAATTCTAAAACCACCGAACCCCAATATGAATTTCCAATGCAAATATTCCAAAGAAAAATTGAATAAAAGCTATAGAAATGATCTTTATAGCAAAAATTTTGAATAGAACTTCATAGAATCCAAATCAATAAATTTAAAAACTCAATAGAGGGATTCGATAAGAAGAAGAAGAATATGTACATATGAAATTGAATACGGTTTGAACACTATACATAGAACTCTTTGCTGGTTTGAAAACTTACATTGATTTTTCTAACTGTGAGCTCGTCGCTTTTTTGGAAACATGGAAGTTAGATTTCGAACCTCAATCCTTGACAGACAAAATTGTTAACTTTAAAACTCTGCATAATCTTCGGCCTCAAAAGAAGAAGGAGAATATATTAGTTTTTACTTGAATGAGAAGTGTTTGAGAATTTGAAGGAGAAGAAAATTTGATTTTATAATTGTGAATTTGGGTGTTAAAAGGGTAAATTACAAGAAGTCAAAGGGTACAAGCAATCATTTTTCGGGTTAAATTTAGGACCAACTAAATTTATTCATATTCGTGTTATAAATTTGGACAAAGTTTTACTCTAGCTATTGACCTGTCCCAACTCTGTCTGGACAGACTAATAAGAACTACAATTAAAAAACGAATATCTGAATGTCTGAAAATGATTAAATATAATAGAATACTAATATAATGTTGAATGATGTAGAAAGTAATTGATTTTACCAGAATAGTTGTTAAATTTCGATTAGAATGTGGGGATAGCCGTGTTTAGGCATTATGTATGATGATTTCTATTTG